GCAACAATATTTGTGTGTGAAATTGACTGAAAATGTTGAATGATTGCAGAAGATGTAAATTACTTTCCTCTTAAGGCTGCTGCAGACGCAAGGACAGATATTAGACTACTGTTACGTTGAATGTGTCATGCGTACAGTAGGAGTGAGGGTGTCCTGGATTCCTCTGGACCTGAAAAAGGCAATGACCATAGTTACTATGCTAGATGACAATCACATGACGGAAGCTGCTAACATTTCCTTCTTTACAATTTTTTTGTAAGTTGTTTTCGATGAACATTAAAAGTGGCACGTGAACCGTAGCACCAAAATGAACTGCATGACTTGTTAGTACAGTTGTAGGCAAAAGTAAAGAATACAGTATATTTTGCAGAAATGTTAATGGTGTTTTTAAAACTTATTATAAATATAAAGAGTGAAAAATTGTAGACAGGATTCTAGCTGTTATAAATCTAGATGGACAGTAACTGAAAAGGTAAATTAAAGCATTCCATGTTTGGCACATTTCTCTTTGTGTGTGTTATAAAATTATTTTGCACGATTTTATTATGTTAATGATGCTGCTGCTGCTGATAATAATAACTTCCATGGAGCAGAGCCATTCTTGAGAAGCTAATAGTTGCTCAGCTAGTCCAGCAGTTCTACAACATTTATGAAACTTGTATGTTTATTGCCGAGTTCATAACAGTGCATCAGTGAACCTTTTTCTCAGGTAGACAAATGCAGTCCACATCCTCGCATGCTACGCCTTTTAGATCCATTTTAATATTATCCTCCCCTCTATGCCTCGGTCTCCCTCGTACCTACACGTATTCAGACAAACATTTTATTAATAACAACACCAACGCTAATGTGTGCTGCTTAGGCCGACTCTTCACATTTGAACATGCAACGAACATACGTAAATATTATTAAAGAATACAAATTGTGGTAACAGTGTAATTAGCTTTGATCGAAAACAGAGTGAAATAAAATAAAGCAAAGGAAAAGAAACTTCAACAAATCTGATCTAATGTGATCGAAAATCCGATGTTAACTGGTGACTTTCGTTCTATGTTGGCATTTTTGAATAGTTCGTTGATATGAGTATCTTGTCTGACGTGCTGTGCGTGTTGTGACAGTAGTGGTGTGGTGTGTGGTTCAGTTAATCCGTTTGAGTTTGCGCATCAATGGGTTTGCTAATGGATTTAAATTGTAAGTATTTGGGAACGATGTATGTATCTTTTAGGTGTTTTGGAGACTGCTGAATATTTGCATGCAGTCGTTTTGGTAGGCTACTTGCTGATTCAGAGTATGCCAACAACATGTCTCCTTTACAGTGGCATGTGCATGTACACGTGTGCTTGTTTAAGGGAAAGGAAAGGATAAAGTTGGAGGAGTTAGCATTTTACAAATATATGCACAGAAAAGTTCCTTGAGTTTCGCTTTTATATTATATCCATGATATGTGTGATATTTCCATATTTATTTATAAGTGACGCTGTACATTTGTTTTGGATATGTGATGATGAAGCAACCATCTTTAGACATTTTCTTGGTAATGCACAGCATTTCTCACTTTAGCTATCTTAATATAGGAACAGCAACGAAACGTGTCTTCTTATATTACGTTAAATTTTCTCTGTATGTGTTCCGTTTTGATATGAAGTTATGTGTTGTTAACAGTATCAGAAAAGAAGACAGTTGAGGCAGTTTTTAAAATTTCGCTTGTAGTTACTGTGGAAAACCAAGGAAGATTTTTCGTTGAACGTATTTGAATTGTTGCACATTTTTATGACACAGACTTGGGTTGTCTGTTCGTGCTATTAAAGGGTGTGGTCCTAAATGTCCCCATCGCATAAGTTTGTCTCTGTATGGTCTGTTGACCATCCATGTCGCCATCCTCTGTAAAGTTCCCCCACCCCTTCATCAAGTGAATGAGCTAGGGGTTCCTAACCTGCTATGAGTGGTTGCACAACATTGTATCTGAGACATAAACCTGTGAAATTAGTTTCCAGAGTTTTCAGTTAAGAAATTAAAACTGTAATGAATACATGTTAATGTTTTATTTTAATAAGATATTTACAGAAATTTGTCCATGACGTACTTATGAAACACGTTTATTGGCATTATGGAACGTGCGAGTCTGTCTTCTGTTAAGATATTTATGACATTGTTCGTAATTTTGTTCCTAGATGGTACTGCAGGTTTATGTACATAGTGCTGCACCCAGTGCTATCTTCACGTAAATAATAAAATTAAAATTACTTTTGTGTTGTTACAACACAAGAACGAAGTACGTCGAAATTCTCAGTGCTGTATTCTTTTGATTTACACGGAATGCAGGAATTGAATATATTTCCGACAATTTAAATTTGAAAGTCGTGTTTATGACATATTCTGTCACTGCTCTAGCATTATAAATTTTTAAGGAGAGCTTTATTCAACTTCATATTTCCCACTTGTTTAATCATTGAGATTTCGGCGATACGAGATATCAGTTCAACTTCTAGATACTTACGAGGTTCTGCAAGGAATTTTGTGTGACAAGATCTGGCTGTAGGATCGTAAATTCGTCGCTAGAATATTTTTATCTTGTCAAAGGATATGGTAATTAATGTTATTTTTAAAACGTATCGAGTACGCCTGTATAATGCCCTATCAACAGTAAAATATGAAAATGTTTGAATATTTTCTGTTTGTTTTGAATTAAAGACTAACTTTATGCATAGTACAGTGGATCTTAATTTTTATAACAGCTACACAGCTATGGTTTTGGCAATACAAGCTTGGGTTGTAATTATATTTAATAATTAAAAATAGGCAATTTATAAGAATGAAAGCACTAGGTAACTTGTATTCAGCCATAGATATGAGGAATCAAAGTTAAATTTGATCAAAAACTGTTCTCGAGTTATGAGATGATATAGTACGAAATCTATTTTGTTTAACTATCTCTAAAACAGCCGAACCTACGGAAAAGCGAATTGGACTTAGGTGTGTGCTGATAAACAAACAGGCCTGTGGAGGGAATTAGGTATTTACGTAAAATCTCCGTTAATGTTGCCAGATTTTAAAGAAAATTGGGATGTATCAACAAATTTTAGTTAAACACCTCAGTATAAAATTTCATGAGAGCCCTTTCAACTGTTCTCGAATTGTTACATGTAAAAATGTGGTGAGACCAACAGGTGCACCTTTGCAACTTTGATACGAAATAAATTGTTACAGTTTAATAGAAAATTACTAAGGAGATTTGCAGTTTTTCACGATGTTAGAATCACCTGATGTTTGCGTAGTGCAAGTAATCCACGTGCTAATTGAATGTTGCTTTCCAATTTCAACATGACGTCATGGGTCGACCTGTAATTTGCCACAGACACGCTCTAGAAAATATTACACCATAAGTAATGACAGCCACGTAATGTTATATAATACAGAATCTAAATTCCCGGAAAGACTGAGGAGTGATCACGAAAGCAAATTAAGAGCAGGGCGGTTTGTGTTCTGCTTGATTGGATGAGTTTTTGTGTGTGTCAGATAGGGATATATAATTCGTAGCTTGTAATGGAGACACAAGGAGTTACAAATGTTGACAGACTATGTTATTCAGCCCTGTGGTATAATTTAACCTAAAAATATGAATAGAACTTTTTCTATTTATCCACTAATTCGGAAATTTGGCATGCAGTGTTTGCCGAAATGTGGGGGTGCGATTTCTTGCTGAAAGATAATGTTGTTCACTCGTACAAGCTGTGGAAAATCGTTGTTCGTTAGCGTGTCCAAGTACAGATTACTTATCCATGATTTATTCTGCAAATAAAAATTAACCCAAAAAACTTACGCCTGTAAGTGTGTACCATGTATTTACATTAGAAGTATCGTTTTCATGTTCTAGGTATTTATTGGGTAAATTGGAAGTTCAAATTCGACACGTATGCCAATTTTAAATCCTTGACATGTAGAAAGTAGCTTTGTGAGGTAACATGGCTTTATACAGCTGTTAATCTTCTTCGTCAGTGCAACGTAGCTTTATAAGAGTCTTTCTGATGTTTCAGCATACAGAATTCTAAATTCCAAATATCTGCTTGAAAACATTTAGAAGAAAAAAGATGTTACGACAGTCGGCTTTGATGTAAAAATACACTTTATGGTTTAACAGATGACAAGCGTAATATAATTAATATGTCCTCTGGTGTTCATTGACGAAATCATCGTATATTACAATTCTCTGATAATGGGTCCTTCGCCTTTGAGTTTCTGAAGGCGGTGCCAAATAGCATTAGAACTTGGTGTGTTCTGTCGTAACTACACACAATATGAGTAACTATATATTCTCTTGTTATCTTGCTAGTCATAATCCTTCTCCCTTTCTCTCCGTGTTCCTTAGCATTATCACCATGGCAACATCTTCGCCTCGTTGTGCCAGAATCTATATTTAATTGCAGTTTCCGTTACTCTTGGTTACGCCTCACTTCTGACTCTCCCCCTCTACTGTTCTCTACCATTATTATTACGTATTTTCCTTTCACATCTGCAGAACTTAGATTAGAATTCTGCAGGAAC